AGAGAGAGAAGGAACCGCCAACAGCACGGGAGAGAGAGAGAGAGAGAGAGAGAGAGAGAGAGAGAGAGAGAGAGAGAGGAAGGAGGGAGGCAGGAGAGGGCGAGATCATGCATGATCCACATCGATGGGAGTAGAATGAAGAACGCCTACCGGTAGGAAAGAAGAAGACGAACGAGAGCGGAAGTCGAGTTTGCTTAAACGGGAGCGGAAGTTCAAGAAGATCAAAAAAGAAAAACTCGACTTCCGCTCTCGTTCGGTTATGGCAGAAGGGAAGACAGGACGGAGGGAAGGGAAAAGAGAGATCACAAAGACGGGCAGGCGTGTCGGAGGCGATGGAGGGCAACGTAGCAAAGGGATGAACCGGAGGAGAGAAGACTAGGACACTAGAAAAACAAGACCAGTGCAACACGAGAGAACACAAAAAGACAAGAACACAAGAAGATAGAGAACAACAAGAACACTAGAAAAACTAGACCACCGGAACACTAGAACACAGAAAGAGAAGAACACAAGAAGATAAGGAGATAAGCAAGCAAAAAGACAATAAGATGAGAAGATGTGCCCTCGCTCGACTACTCAACACTCTACATGTATCTGGACAGAAATTGGATCAGATACGGTGGGACGGATACAAACGTTTTGAATTTGCTGAGATGAATATCAGCTTCATATACATTTAGAAAAAAGTGCTGCAGCAAAAAAAAAAAAAAAAAAGCTGCAGCGGAGCAAAGCCCGATAAGACAACACAAGAAAATAAGAAAGTCAGACGATAAGAAAACGAGTAGACTTGGATGAACCTACACACAGGGGAGAACACGAGGAAGGGAAAAAGGGAGAGCGATATCCTTATTTAATATTGACCTCTTCGACAGATTGAAGAAGGAAGAGAGAGAAGCGTGCCGCTGCACGCGAACCAAGAAGAAGGCAAAGGAAAAAGAAAAGCAGACGAGGAGAGGGGAAAGGACGAGGAGGAGCCAGACGGATGACCACGAGTGAGAAGGAGGAGGGCGAGGAAGAGGACGAGCAGGAGGAGGAGGAGGAAGAGGAGGAGGAGAGCAAAACAAGAGTAGAGGAGAGGCCTTCTCGTACCTCTTCGCTGATTTGGCTGACGTGGCTAATTCTCGTAGCATCCCAGCTAATTATCCGTTCAAACTGGTACAATCCTCTCTCTCTCTCTCTCTCTCTCTCTCTCTCTCTCTCTCTCTCTCTCTCTCTCTCTCTCTCTCTCTCTCTCTCTCTCTCGCTCCGTGCGCGCGCGCGCGTTGACCCTACCCTTTACCGTGTTCGCTATTGTCCCTACCCAGACAAGGAAAGTCGGGATCGGTACCTAAGCCCTCCCCTCGCGCTGACGTGGCTCGTCCCTCAGCACTTTCCTTGTTCTGACTAATTGGTTTCTGCCACGTGTCGTTCCGTTGCGATGCACATGAGAGACCCGAAAGTAATCACGCATAAAGCATCACGAACATACTCTGATAATTACGATATTATCACCGATGATTCGTCTATAACATCATTTGTCTATAGGCTCAACAAGGCGTTGTCGACTCGAATACATAATTCTCAAGCGGATTCATACATATATACATATATATTATAATACATTGTCACATGATATCAGAGCGCCTAAGCGAAAAAACCAAAAAAACAAAAAAATCTTAAATTCGTTTTTAATCTTCTTCCTTACAACTCCCCCTGTTCAGAACCTCTTGCGTACAAGGCCGCCCACGTGGATGTAGGTTGAGCGGCGGCTGCCCCCACCCCCGTGTGTCATATCGACCCACTTGCACACAGCCAAAAGGCAAAGAGGCAAAGAAGAG